GCTGATGCTGCAGCAGCTTTGCTGACTTGTGCTCCCAGTTTTTCCATTACAAGCTGTTTATCCTCTCTGTGCCTGCGTGGGATGGGAAAGGAGCGTAGGGGGCACCTGGAAATGGCACCAAAGAGGTGCAAAAGCATCGCCGAGCCCCAAATCAGTTCAGTGATACCCCAAAGGGCACCGAGTCGCGCCCCGGGCTGTGTCACCAGCAGTGGTGCAGGCAATCCTAGGGGGTGACCCCTCCGTCCCCTTCCCCAAGGGGTGCAGCCCTCTGGCGGAGGAGGACAGACGGGTCTGTGCAGGACTCACGGACACAGCTCCACGCAGCAAGCAGCAGTGACCCCTGCTTAGGAAAGACAAGCTGGTGGTCTTGGCACTGACAAATTAAACCATGTAATATTAATTTTGACAGGAAAGATCAAAACACTGGGATTAAAAAAGTATAGAGGAGAAGAGGAAAACGCCTTTCTCTTCTGGGGGCGGGGGAGGGAAATAAACTGTCAAGTTCTGTTTTGCCTTGGCCATTTGGGAAAGAAAAGGATACTGACATCAAAACGAAAAAAACAACTTGGTAACCTCTATATTTGGAACTAAGCTTTGAAAATGCAACCGAACGCGTCGGTGCTTTTGTTTGCTTAAAAAGAGTTCTTTATGCCCATTTCTGCAAGAACAATTAGATAGGCTACAAATGTAATAAACTGCGTGGAGTTTTGACCTTTACTGTGCAGCCTCTCAACAGCAAACTACACCGTTTTTTCCATGCTCGTCGTCAGTGCCACTGAGATGACAACTAGGGTGGGATTTTGATGTTTGGGAAAGGAAATATTCATTACTTCATATTTAGGAAGCACTACTTCATTCCTTTGGAAAGCTGCCATTATTTCGCCATTAACGCTCAAGTACTCGCATCTCTCGGAGTACTGCTAAGTCTACGGTTCATACTTCAGAGAAACTAAGATATTTAATTTGAGATACCTTAAAGAAACTGATAGACACGTATTGGATGCTTATTAGGCAGCATGGATGAGAACAGTCCAAAATTCACTAGTAATTTCTAAAATTGTCGCCAGCATTCCCTGCATACCTCAAGAGGCAAATATTGTAATCACATTTTTTCTGAATTGCAAACCAGATGGATGCTATCCCCATTGCTCTGCCACACTTGAGAACGGAATTAAGAATTACACTAGTTCTCGGCCTTCATCTAACATTTAGGACACGCTCCTCTAATAATTTCACCAGGGTAGCTAGGCAGATATTCATAATATTGTCTAGCCTGTAAAGAGATTCAAGTGAGAACAGCAAAAACTTGTAAGTAAGCAAGAAGAATTTAGCTGAACATCTTGTAGACTGAAGCCACATTGAATTCTTAAAATACAACAGCAAAGCTCTGCCTATAAACTGTAAGGTCTTAAGACTCCACCCCTACTCCTGCCTCCATGTCCTCTTGCTTTTGATTGGAATCTCACAACAAAAACAAGATTGCTCGACAGGGTGTTCAAACAGAGCGCTCCACCTCATCGCCCCTGTTTCGAGACTGACGTACAGAAAACACAAAGAAGTGGTATAAAGGGAGATTTCTCAGAGACACCAAGCGCTAAATTTTGTGCCGTTCATTTTTAAGGTAAGGAAGTCCTGCCAACAGTGTTTACAGGACTTGCTGGTTAGTCGAGACTAAAATTTGTACCTCTGCTTTCGTTAGCTGCTCTCGCAACTTCTCCACTTCCTCACGGAGCTCCCGAATAATGCGAGCGTTGGGGTCTTCGTTCACCACGGCGTGATTAACGATGTTCTTGGCCCGGTCTGCGTACCTCAGCGTTGAAAGGGTCTCGTCATAGTTGTCTGCTGCTGGGCTCACTGTTGCTACCATGGCAGTCTTGCTGTTACCACCGAGGCTATCCTGGAAAGTGGCAGAGGTTATCAAATTGAGGCAGAAGGTTCTTTTCATTTTACTCAGTCAATGAACTTAACACAAAGAATAACCTAGGGCTGAGAGCAGATCAGTGCAATTCATAACAGTTCAAAATTACTACTTTAAGCTGTGTAAATCAAGGAAAGTTGTTATTTTTAGTTGTGGGTTTTTTTAAAGCACATTTAGGAAATATCACTCTTGGCTTTTATAATCAGTTTCAGTTTAAACAGGAATGAAACCAGCCCCTTTTGGGGGCTTTATGGTGCCTAGTAAGGGCTTCAGAGGTTTACTTCTGTGTTTTCTGCCTAGGTTTATAAACCAGAAATATAAGCACTTCAGTATTAAACTTCTCAGATACTACTGAAGGAGCTCAGGAGGGATCATGATAAATTCAGAATATCGTATTTTAAAGGAAGCGAGGTGCCTCCAGTAAGTACTTAATTTAAATTACTTAAAGATCTCCTCACAAACAACACGGCTGATTTTATTCTTGTCAACATTTCAGAATGGGGCCCTCCCCTTCCCCTCGTTTAGCTCACAAAGAAATTACCCTTCCACTATTTGCTTGACAGAGAAGAAGGGCGTGAAAGCACATTCCTGCAAGGCAGTGTGTCAGGGGAGCGCGGCAAGGAAGGAAGGAAGGAAGGAAGCGTTCAATCTTTTCACTGATCGCAAAATTGTCATTTACAATATGGGCCAGCCTAAAAGATAATATATCCGGGTTTAAATTTTGCAGCAAATCTTTGTTTTGTGTCTGGAATTTTTTGTTGTTTTGGGTTGGGTTTTTTTGTTTGGTTTGGTTTTTTACCCAATATGCCTTTCTGAGACGAAGCACGCTATTAACTTTCATCTTCAATAACCCATGAAATCTAGGTCAGGCGTTGCCATTAGAACAATCCGACTACATTAGCTGCTTGTCTAACCATTTCAATTACAGAGCACACACGTAGGCTTTCCCCAGCAATCATTAAATCCTCCCTCCAAGTATTTCCTTAAGACTCCCTTTTTTTTGCCGCGTGATGCCTAAAACAGTTTTGACAGCAGCCTGGCTGCTTCAGTGGTCAGAAGACAAGCTTTGACCACACAGACGGATGTTTCTTCGCGGCTGCGTTGGCAGCGTTCTGCTGTCTCCGGTCACGCAAAAAGGCTGCTGGCTCTTCGGGTAGAGAATATCATTTCGTTTGTAGAGCGTTCAGCCCAGCGAGGTACACGGGCAGCGGTATTTTAAAAGAAGTCAACTGAAAAGAGCTGCCTTCTGACCGACACTAGCGCGTATTTCTGTCTCATCTGGGGAGCAGCCAATGTTCACTCCAATAAATAACGCGGCTTGAGAGGACTCGCTCCGTACCACAGAAATGTGTCTTCCAAAAGCACCTACTGAAAACTTGAAAAAGATTAACAAGAGCGCGTGACTCATTCTTTGGGATTTCTGGGACTTTTCCTTCAATCCGTCAACTGTTTTCAAAAATTACAAGCGACGCTCTGCAACCGCAATCCCTGCTCTGCGTAAAGAGATGAAGTTTATCAGGGAGCTGGCCAGGTACTCCGCTTCGTTAACAGTTTGCACTTTGGGCACCTCCCTCACTGCACTAATTAGCTCCAAAATAGGATTAATTCTTTATTTGAATTGCAGCTCTGCTGTAAAGGCAGCTGAGAACACCCTACAGTGATACACCATAACTCACAGAACCCCCATGATAAGTTGAGTAAAGTTCCTCTTGTACTGTAGCTACTCAAGCCCAATGCCAGAGTGTCCCATCAAGTTTTACGTATAAAACCCTTGTGCGGATTTCACTGGTTTCTTGAACGTTAAGCAAGAAAGATAGACGAATAGTAAGGCAGCCCCTCATTAGCGAAGACAGAATCAGCCCTGGAAAGGTTGGCCTTGCACATGGTAGAGTGGAAATCAGTAAATTTAGTTATTTCTAAGACTAAACTAGCCCAGTCTTCTCCAGCACCAAGATTACTGTGAAAATAACTTCAAACGTAGAGATCAGAAATTACATTTTTAATAGCAGCCATCGTAAACCACGGAGGGCTTCTGATTAAAATGGGAAAACAAGATCTTTGTGTCAATAAAATCTGACAAAACCAAGAAGCTAAAGCACTTAAGACTATTTCACTTCCTACACATAACCTGACACCACTCTTCAAGCCTCCTCTTGCAATAACATTTTTCATCTGGTATTGCCATCTAAAGATGCTTGACAAAATTAAATGAAAAGTGTCAGATCTTGAGGTCTCCTGAACTCAACTGCTGTCTCAGATTTGTAGAAAGACCCTACGTGTCGGATATTTCTAGTGCTGGAACACATTTAGTCGATTTTGGCATCATAATTCAAAGTTAAAAGCTAAAGCTAAAGATAGTCAGTCATCTCACGGCTTCTCCAAACAGGCCTCTTGAAACGAATAAATCCCTCCTTTGATCTTGAATTAAAAAAAAAAAAAAGTTTAAATTTTGCCCTTTCAAAACAAACCTTCTCTTCAGCGAGGTGGTTTGTAAAAAAAAAATAAAAAAGATCCAAAAAGCCTCAACCCTTTTGTTTGCACTTAACATAGCTGGATGTTAAAGGCACAAAAGAAAGTTTGCTTGAAAGAAGGCAGAACAAAAGCGCGCTGCTATTTATGAGCGAAAGCATGTGCTGCGCCCGGCCCTCCTCACCGCCGCTACAATGCGTCAAACAGGTGCTCAACAGGAATTCCAGCCTGCCCCCCGGATTTGGTTAGAAATGGGCCAGCATAACTAATTCTAAAACCAACGACGATGCCAGAAATTCGTTAGGAAAGTTTCCACTCCGCTCGCTCAGGCTGTTAGAGCCGCGATCAGGAAGGCAAACGCACAGGCCACCGGAGCCAAACGGAGCGAGTCGCGCGCTGGTTTCGTTCTGTCTTTACCAAGAGCCAAAAACCACGCTTTAATTAAAAACTCAGTGTCAATATGCAGAGGCAAAAATATAGTTAGACACTGAGAAAGTCTATGAAACAGGGATTTATGTGGGGTTATGTGAGTAGGGGTTTTATCGTACTTCAGCACTGTTTTCAAACCTCCTTATGGAAAATATCTTTTTTAATCCCCACACCTCTGTAGAACGTGCAAGTAACTTTTTCTTTTGCTTTCCACTTGTGCAGTTCAACCATAGGGACATCAAATTCGAGTAACATCTAAAAACACTGCTAAGAAGGGGTGGGGAAGCAAAGCAGAACGTTCAAGACAACAAAATGGCCACAGCGCCTTCTAAAGTAAGAGGGTAAAAAAGGCTGGTGATGCCAAAAAATCACTTTCTTCCCAGATTCTATCTTTCTACTGACAAATACGTTGGTGCTTGATAAAAACAGAGCACTAGGAAAAGGAAAAGGAAACTTGGTAAGTTAATGCTTCTAGGAGACATGGTTACGGAACACCCTGGGGATCAAATGATGAAAGAGAAAAATTTTATCAAAAATGACAGGTTACAAAACCGAAACTTAAGTCATCTACATATGACGCGTAATTCAATAATCCTTCAAAATCCAAGTAAATCAAGACCAATCACGCTGTACCAAGCAAGGTTAAGATAAAAGAAAGACAAGCCAATAGCAGGCAAGGTTTTTTATGGATCCAAGTGGCCACATTTGTGTTTGCCACTCATGCTGAGAGAGGCAGAAATCCAGATTACACCTATACCTAAAAATACCTAAAAATCAAACTT